TCTCGCAGGACAAGTTTGCGCACGCCACGGACCACTCCCCGTGCATCACTCCGAAGGGCGAGCGGTACTTGACCTCGGAGTGCAGGCCCATGCTGCCGGTGGAGTCCATGCGACTGCAAGGGCGATGGTTCAAAAGCGACGATCCTTTGCTCTCGACGGTGCCGCAGGGCCTACTCGCAGATCTAGCAGGCAACGCCTTCGAGGCAAGTTGCTGTGCTGCTACATTCTGGACAACGATGGTCTTTTTTGCACGCATCAGGAAACTCAGCGAGGCGCAGGACAAAGCACGTGGGCCACCCGTTGGCAGGCAGTACCACACACCGGACTTCGACTCGCAGGTCCTTCTGGATTTCAGTGACATCGAAGACGACTTGCACGGAGATCAGACTGAGGAGGACGACACCCGCTTGGACGCAGAAGGACAAGACCCGCGTGGAATGCCATGATTCTGATTCTGAAACCCGGAGGAGTCCTCGTTGACGATTTTTTGCCGGCCTTCTTTGTGCAGTATCTCCGCAAACAGTCGCAGGGCATGAAAAAAGCATTCTCATCACGTCGTTTATCAGCTTGGATTCCCCCTAGACTTTCGGGCAATTCCCAGGGTTGCAGCAGGAAGCGGTGGTGCTAGAATCTTTTCTAGTGTTGACAATGAACAAAGTCTGTCTATGTTCACTGAGGTGCACTTGTTGTAGTGAGGAGTCCGACAAGAAGAACCCTATGACTATTAAAGTGTCTAAGAAGAATTCAGAAAACATAAAGGCAAGTCTTGCACAAGTGCCAACACTAGTTTGAAAGCCACGTCCTGTGTGGCCCCTGGTGTAACCAAGTACACAAATCATCCTGGAAATATGGCATTCCATTGAAAAGCTTCTTTCTCCAGGACCTCCTGCAGTGCCGGACTTTGACAACGGACAAAGAGAGTCAAGATTGGCTGAGACGCAGGGATTCGTCGTTCCCGACGGTCTTGATAATTAATGGCTACATAGACTCTAAGTTGTATTAAGTTGATTACTAGGCGGATGCAGGGCTCGATGGTGATGCAGGTTTGAAACTTGGTGGAGCTAGCCTTTGCCAAAAAAATAAGTAACACAACGCAGATAGACAGGTCTAAGACCAGAAACTTGTTTGCAACAAACGGCAGAAGTACACTGCTGCCCAGGAAATAGCCACAGAGAAGACAAAGTAGACCTTGTGATGTGGTGTGTATCCTTTCCAGGTTCTGCCTTCTCCAACATGCATTCGAACAAATAATGTTCGACCGGAGAGTTTGTTGCATGACCTTTCACAGAATTTATTCTTGCCTAAACTCCATTCGTCTGATTTTGAACCCTACGTTCTAAGCTCATCATCTAGCAAATATGCCAAATGCACACTTGAAACCGCATGGTTCACCAATGTTCCGAGACAAAAACATGGATAAGGTTTCGGTGTTCTTTGTCGCCGGACATACAAACATGCAGCTGCATGTCGTGGGGCTCGAAGATGCAAAAGCCATGCTCCAGAGTGTAATATTTGTTGCAGAGGTTTCTTAGGCTCCACCAAAAAAATTGGTTTGCGCTTGAAATGCGCTTGGTCTGCGCTTGATCTGCGCCTGGCTTTGCCCACTGAAATATTGGTATGCGCTTGGTCCGCGCTTGGTCTGCGCTTGGTCTGCGCCGTGTTTAGAAATGCATGCGCTCGCAGTGGCATTATCCAAACACTTTTGACTATTATGTCTCTTTCAAGTTTTGAAATAGATGTAGATCCTTTCCATTCGGTAACTTGTTACATGTTGTGCCTTGCTGTTATGGAGAGTAAAAACTCGCCAAAGCTTTTGCACTCATACATCCTCACAGGAATTTAGCTTTTTAAGCACTTTGGCATGATACTGTATGTGGCAGATGCTATGCATTTCCTTGCACTTGCACTTCCCTTGTTTATGATCATGTTCAAGTCGGTCTGCATTCGCTTTCCATTGTACTGAATTCCATTGCTCTGCACTTGGTCTGCGCTTGGTCTGCGCTTGGTCTGCGCTTGGTCTGCGCCTGGTCTGCGCCTGGTCTGCGCCCACTGAATCATTGGTCTGCACTTGATCTGCGCTTGGTCTGCGCTTGGTCTGCGCTTGGTCCGCGCTTGGTCCGCGCTGGTGTATACCACAGGCCGTGAGAGCATTTTAAATGATATTAGGTATGTTTGAAATCTGCAAGTCAGACACTCTTTGTTTGCATAGTGTTTGCATTTGTGCTGCTCTGGCATGACTTTATCAGTGACTCAGCAGTTCACCATTACTTCTACTTCAGATAAGCAAAGCCAACTAGTGTGCTATGTTTCCGGCTTCATGATCGTGTTTTTTTATGCAACAAAGCAAAAGCAGGCTGCAAGCACAGTATGCCATTGATAGAACAACTTCGCAATTAATTCATTGACATTACTTCCTCCTTTCAACAAACCACATGGATAATTTCTTGTGGTTTGCTTCCTATAAAGTTCAACGACAACATGTGAAGATTGGTTTGCGCTTGCTTTGCGCTTGGTCTGCGCTTGGTCTGCGCTCGGCTTTGCCCACTGAAACATTGGTCTGCGCTTGGTCTGCGCTTGGTCTGCGCTTGGTCTGCGCTTGGTCTGCTGTGGGTCTAGAAATGCATGCACTCGGTGTAGAATCCAAACACCTTTGTTTATTATGCCCATACAAAGTTTTGAAATATGTGCATTTATTTTAGGTTTTGTAACGTCTTGCATGTCGTGCCTTGCCCTTATGGAGAGTTGCGACTCGCCAAAGCTGTTGCATTCATGCCTCTTCACAGGAATCTAGCTTTTTAAGCACTTTGGCATGATACTGTATGCTGCACATGCTATGCATTTCCTTGCACTAGCATTCCTCTTGTTCATGGTGATGTTCAAGTCGGTCTGCATTTGCTCTCCATTGTACTGAATTCCATTGCTAAAAAAATTGGTTTGCGCTTGGTCTGCGCTTGGTCTGCGCTTGGTCTGCGCCCAATTTTGCCCGGTGAAACATTGGTCTGCGCTTGGTCGACACTTGGCCTGCGCTTGGTCTGCGCTTGGTCTCTGTGGTGAAGACCACTGGCCCTGACAGCATTGCACGTGCATGATACCACATATGTTGCAATGTGCAAATCATGTATTTTTTATATGGATGGTGTTTGCCATTGCGGCTTTCTTGAGTGACTCAATAGTCTTCTATGCATTGCCGTTTCTTTCTGGATGCATGAGAGCAATGCAGACAATGCAGCTGATCTGCTATTATGGTTCAAACTTAATGGTCGTTTGTCCCTGTGCAACCAAGCATCGGGAGGCTTGAGAAACAACATGCCGCAGACAGCTCGGGTTTGCAATTCGTGTTAGAAGCATATAAAGTGTTGAAGCCAACTCACAACGAGCCCGAAAAGAGTGACATCAGCCAGAACGATGGGCTAATGTGGTCATTGCAACCCCTGCTGATTTCAAGGAACACGGTTATATCTCACAGAGTGCCCTCCCCATGACTACGGCCAAATGGTCTAACCGGAGTAGGGCATCGTGCAGATTGGGGGGCTTTCTGTTTTGTTGCCACACCCGCAGGACATCACATCCGCAAATCCACCCAGAGAGTTTTTCCCAGACACACACGCTGGACCATTGCATGGTCTTCATGGTGTTGCAGCCTCTACTCAAACAATTAAGCTCAAGATGCGGACACCGCATCACAAACACATTTTGATCTTTGGGTGTAAAAACTAAGCACCTGACAGAAACGATGCGACGCTGCAGAAATAAGCCCTGCACCTAGTCTTTTCTTTACGTTGGCATTCTTAACTTTTGCTCCCATGTTGCTTTGCATGCTGCCAAAACGATGCCACACAACCCTCAGAACCGACCCTCGCCCAACTTGAGCCGCCAAGAGACACAGGGGGTACGGGTATCCCTGCCATACGCCCTTCCCCGCCTATGGTGGTCCCCAAGTTTAGGGTTTAGAGTTTAGGGTACCAGCAGTGGCTTGCCTACCTCAGAACCCTAAACCGTATACCCTCAGCCTTGAGCACAGAGCCGGAGTGATTCATAGGGTTGAGAGCCCTAGACCTCTAAACATAGTATATGAGTGCAGTACGTGCTGTGTCAGCTACGCTGTGGAGGTTATGGTGGGTGTATGGCTCAGGGCCAAGGGCGTGGTTTTTCAGCGAAGCCTGAAATTGCTAAAGACTTAAACCTTAAAAGCCAAGACTCAACACCCGACAACCTGGAAGCCATGGCCTCCACCCCAAAAAGATACAACCCCAAAGCGTGAAACCGAAACCTCGACCTTAATGAAGGGACCTGCTGGTTTTCGGATTCCTATAATGCCGGGACACGAGGGAACCGTGAGGGTTTCTATTCAGGATCTGGAGAGAGGTCTGGGTAATTCTACGTATACCATTCCTCCTTTTACTCCCCAAACAAACACGACCTGAAGGACCAAATGACCCTTAAAAGTAGGGGCCCTATACCCATATACTATGAATCCTTATATGGTATATGAACCTTAAACCCTTTTAGGGTTCATTTCGTCCTTAAGGGAAACAATTAATGCAGCCTTGCGCCCTCGTCTATGAGCATTACCCTATATTAGCCCCGAACTTGCTGGAAGCATGAACTTTTTTGCCTTCAAAAGGATAGTTCTCCGAACTAGGTCCCCTAAACCCTAAACCGTAAACCCTAAAGGCCCCCTTAGGAACCCGACAGGAGGCAGCACCCTTAAAACAAAACCTGAATGCCTACACGGCACCCTGATTTGGAGAGGTACCTAGATGTCTGCTTGACCCTAAACCATAGACCCTAAACCCTGAACCTTAAACCCGAAAGCCTGAAAGCCTAAACCCCGAACCTTCAACCCTAAACCCCTAAACCCTGAACCCCTGAACCCTAAAGGAAGCCCTAACCCCTAAACCCCAAACTCTAATCCCCCTTTAAAAGGAACCTTTATAGATCCCTTTAAAGGGAACCCACACTAACCCCCCAAAACCCTAAACCATAAGCAGATGTTTCAGGCACTTGGTACAGAGTAGCCTCCTCATGGAGGCCGTGGTCGGCTTCTTCTGACGATTACGGGTTTTAGGGCTTCGGGTTTAAGGTTTAGGGTTCTTCGGATGAATTCGGGTTTTAGGGCCTACTTCAAACGACCAAACCATACTGTTTTGTAGAGTCCCTTTAAATTCGATATCAGTTATGAGGGTGCGCAATAGGAACTTACAAGAAGTAGGCTATGATAGGGGTTAGGGCCTAACGTGTGAATTCTGGGTCTTAGCGACGATTCGGCGAGTGTGTCTTCACAGCCATGACATGTTGAATTGCAAGGATCCCTGAATGGGGTATCCGACATACCCAAATCTTAAGAACCCCACCAAACCTTGTAAGACCCTTAGAAAATCAATGCCAAAGCACTGGAACACAAACCTGGAAAGCCACACAATTCATTCTTGTTTCTAGATGCGGAAGCAATTCCGAAACCAGTTTGTAGTCTCCGCTCTACTTGGGTCCAGATATAAGTATTCATACTATATACCCGAATGCCGTGTTCTTATGATTGAGGCCCTTGTAGCATGTGTGACAAGGCGAGGGCCGCCAGCCACAACGTTCTTTACATTTCTTTGGGAGGCGTTTAATAGGGTTGAGGGTCTAAGGTTCAGGGTTTTGCGTTTTCCTAGACCCCCAACGACCCCTAGGGGTCGTTGGGGGGTAGTTAGGCCTTTCAATAAGCTTATTGAAAGGCCTAACTACGCCTTCATGAGAAATATTAGTACTTGGGCATTGGGGGATCCTGGTAGGGTTTGAGGCGAGCGGTTTGCAATGTGGGTGCCGGCCCAGCTTTGGACAAGAGCGGCCAATTTAGAGTTTATAGGGTTTAGGGTTTGGTGATATACCTCCTGCATTACTTTAATGACCCCAGACTATGGGAATTATGTTATATTCCTTATCAACTAGGGTAATGCAGATTTATATCATCTACCGTATGACGAGCTTAGATGACTAGATAGCCCCGGGGCTCAAAATAATTAGCCCAAACTCACTGTGCAGCATGGTATTTCGGTCCAGCCTTACGGTAAGGATCGTAAAGTTTGGCGCTCCTCGGTGCGTGCACCTGCTATCACAAAAGACAAAGAAAGCAAAACCCTCGCCCTGTTCAGGTGCGAAACGACGGTGAGGCTTCAGCTTGATCTTTACGGTTTAGTCATTAAAGCGAGAAGATAAGGGCCCTGATTATGAGCTTCCAGGCTTGATTGAGGATTTAGGGTTTTTGCGCTCAGGATTGGGGTTGTAGGTGAGTGAGTCACATTCGTTTGTGATTTGGCGTCTGAGATGGTTAAGTTTTTCGGGGTGGTTGGGGCATTGATGTCAAGTAGGGAAGCATCTCGCACAGGATAAGTTTTCCACCGTAACTCCGCCATAATGCAATCGTTGTTCCCATGATGTTTGTATTTATATTCTTGTAGGGTACAGGTAAGCTGGCAGTGCTGGCAGTGCTCGTACTTCCACACATAGGAAAACATCTGACAACGTAGTATGCATGTTACTAAATAAGCTGTAAGTATTGATCTTGTTTCTTTTTTTGCCCCCACTATGGCACTATATGTTGTTCGTTTAATGGTTCTACTCAATTTCTACTCTATACAAGATGCCTACTGATACGATAGACCGGATTCCTGCTATGAGGTGGTTTGGGGTCTGCGGAGCTCAGCATCCTTCGGGTTTAGGGGCTTATGGGCTTGCGGCTTGGTTCAGGGACTCCAATATCCCTTCATTAAGGAATATTCCTTAAATCATACTAGGGATCCTACTACGATTTAAGGAATATTCCTTAATTAAGGGATATTGGAGTCTCTGGGTGGTTCAGGGAAGTTTAGTTTAGGGTTCGGAGCTTTTGAGCTGTAGGTTGTTCTGGGTTTCGACGGATTCGGTTAGGGCCTCAAGGAGACGGGGTTTGAAGCCTTGAGTTGAGACTCCGTTTTCGGGGGGGCCAGGCATTGAAGGTTCGTCGTGGTTTCGCCATCTGAACCGAGATGCAGGGTTCGCGGGTCAGTCAATTTAGGGTTTAGGGTTTAGAGAAGACGATGTAGTGACTAGTGTCCTCGAGGTCCCATTTGACTGACAACCTAAGTTTTATAGGGTTTAGGATTTAGGACAACTACCAAACCATTGTCAGACAGCACCTGCGAGACTGTGGCGGCCGGAGATAATAAGACTGACCTTATGAAAACGCCAGAGCGGAAGCAACTCATCACAGCTGCCATACCTTCGCACCCCCGGGGCAGGGCCAAAACGAGCAGAAAGGCCAGGACTTCCAAGGTTCTATCTGGCCAAGTGCTTGGCCGGCTGGCCGGGTGTTACGAAGACCGGCATGAAGCAAGTGATTGCCGAGGTTAAAAACTTCTGGGAGCAAGGATAGTGATGGATCGATTGGGCGAGGATCCGATCGTTGACAAATTTTTAGTCGAAGCACGTGCGCGGCCATCAACGAGCAATGAATACTGCAGCTCAGAAGGGCGGGACCCCTAAACCCTAAACCCTGAACCCCCTTATGGCCTTCACTGCGCACGTGCCAGCGATCCCGGAGGGTGAAAAGGCGGCAGGACCTTCAAAGTGCTCGAAGGGCACGGCACAGGCTTTGGGGTTAGTTTGGGATCAGGGTTTTAGGGTTTTAGGGGTTTAGGGTTTAGGGTTTAGGGTTTGGGATCAGGGTTTTAGGGGTTTAGGGTTTAGGGTATGGGGAACCCTGATTCAAAGGGCAGCTTGGGGCCACCTCCCGGCCTGCCTCCGCACGGAGGCAGCGGGGCCGCCCCCGAGGAGTGAGCTGCTTCGTCAAGCCTTTTAACACTGGAGACTTGCAAGTATGATTACCCATACTATGTTGGGGATTCCGTATTATAAATACAGAAAAACGGGCGCCACGACCCTATTCTATTCTTGGCGTTCTTCTGGTTGGCTCTTTAGACTTTAACTTTTTGGGTTTCTATATGAACTATAATAAGGAGGCTAAAAGTTTAACTTGTAGGAGGGGTTCAGAAGTCCGCCAAGTATTGATTGAGGCCCCTATCATCCTTGTCATAAGGAACCTCCCCGTTTTCAGAAGCCCACTGGGACCATCAGCGGGTGTTCCTTTCTTGGATTCCTTACAGGGTCCGAGTGCCAATTTCCCCCCGCCCCCCCCGAAACACTGACCTACCAGTACCAGTCCCCCAGACCGAAGTGCTCAAGTGCTCAGTGCGTAACTGTTAGGCAGAACCTTTTCATCCCGTTTCTTAGCTGTTTACCCCAACCGTTAGATACTTTGGATATTTATAGAACCTTTTCATGCCGTTTCTTAGCTGTTTACCCCAACTACTAGATACTTTGGATTCTTAGGGTACCTGGAAAAACTCATACGCAGTCCCGGACAGGCGGTGCCCGCCCCCTCGAAAAGCGGCCGGGCTCTTTGCCGGTTGTTCTCGTTTTCACAGGTCTCCTGATAGAGAATGGACCTAAACCCTAAACCGGATGCATCGGTTCAAGCAGTAGTATAGAAGCCTGAAGCCTCATAGTTCTATGAAAGTACGTATATACTTCCCCAAAAAACCTTTCCCAACGATAAATTCTAGACTCCTTTCGAACCTTCTTGCCGGGGTGTCATAGGAGGTCAAAAGAGGTTTTTAGCTCATGGGGGTTAAGTAGAGGCTCAGGGTTCCCATAATAGGCTAGGATGCCCAGTAGTACCCTTATTCCCTTTTTGTCGTCCTAGGTTCCTTATAAAGTTACCCAATACCAAAAAGAGAGGCCTTTTTATTCTTAGGTTACTGGGTATCCTAGTAGGGTTCATGTTAAGGAATCCCTACCCCAAGAATCTTAAACCACCCCTTTTGGCTTCCCATCAGGGTGCTTCTGGAAGGGCTAGGGTGTAGAGCCTTGCATGTCTCTTCCCTCAGCCTCGCCCTGCCTGGAGCCCTACACCGCCCGGTTTGGGCGTTTAGGGTTTAGGGGGTGCTCTTTAGGGATGTTTAGGGTTTCAGGGATACGGTATACCTAGACCGAGACCCGCCAACTATGCATCGTTGTAGTCCAATTACCTCGTAGCAGGGTTGGAGTTTAAAGTTCAGGTACTTGGCCTGGCTTGAAGCTACAGAGTTGTCAGACTTTACAGATGGCCAAGGACTAAGGACATGAACTTTTGGTTAAGGGTTTGTTTATTTGGGTTTAGGCATTAGGCTTTATTTTTTTGGGGGGGTTAGAGTTTATGTTTTAGGGTTTAGGGTAGCTCCAAGTTCCTGTACGCTCGAACTCCTTCCCGAACGCTTCGAAAACGTCTGTCTAGAGACTTTTTGAACCACCCTAAAACAAAAAGCACATCTTCCCGCTATCTTGGTAGTATGTCGGGACCCTAAACCCTAAACCATAGAGCCTAAACCTTAAACCTTAAGCCCCAAATCCCAAACCCTAAACCCTAAGCCCCAAATCCCAAACCCTAAACCCTAAGCCCCAAATCCCAAACCCTAAACCCTAAGCCCCAAATCCCAAACCCTAAACCCTAAGCCCCAAATCCCAAACCCTAAACCCTAAGCCCTAAATCCCAAACCCTAAGCCCTAAGCCCTAAATCCCAAACCCTAAACCCTAAGCCCTAAATCCCAAACCCTAAACCCTAAACAGGAGGTTTCAATCATCACTTTGCAGTAAGACGGTGGGTGAAGGCGGAGAGCCGCAGGGTCTCAGAACAGACCTGGAACTGAGAGGATTCTACTTAAAGGCTCATGGGACTTAGTAAGTAAGGGCTTAGGGTTCCTTCTAAGGGTACTATAGGGTTCTACAATAAGGGTTTAGGGTGTAGGGTCTACTTAAAGGCTCATGGGACTTAGTAAGTCAGGTTATAAGTAGGTTATAATTAGGATAACCCCACTTAGGGGACTTATAAGCCCAATTATAACCTATTTACTAAGTCCCATGATCCTTTAAGTAATATCCCTTAAATAGGGAATATACCGTAGGGTTCCTTACAGGGAACTGTACGGGATCTAGAGGGTTGAAGGTTTCAGAGACTCCCATCCCTTAGTGAAGGATCATTCCTTTACTCATATTAGGAATCCTACCATAATTTAACGTACATGCCTTAATTAAGGGGTATTGGAGTCTCTGGGACATGCGAAGACCCGCACTCCTTCTGAACTTTTTAAAGCCAAATCCCTCACGCTGACTTCACTTGAGTCCCAAGTCATTTAATGACCATCGGTAATATAGGGGCTTTAATGATTACCTACACCATTTCTTTTTTTGGGGGGGGCGGGGGGGGGCGGTCCTTCTTACAAGTATAGTATAATATCACCCAAAACCCTGTTCTAATTGTTGAGGCTCGTATATTTTGCGCAAGTACAGCCTGAGGCGGTTGGTGGTCCGGCGGTTCCACGAACCTCCCAGCCTGGGACCTCATAGGGGGGGTCCGAGTGGTTTCTTATTCATCAGTCTTCGGCATGCTTATTCCCAAGGCTCCAAGAACCCATGGTTGAGGGCTTTTTGGCAGAAACACCACAATACATGATGCTTGCTGGTTGCTTTAGTCCCAAACCGTAACCCTAAACCCTAAACCCTAAACCCCTAAACCCTTAACCCTTAAAGGAACCCATCCTAAACTTGCGGTTCAGGCTTTCGAGCTTTTGTGGTTTGGGCTCTGAAGACTCTGCAGCTTAGAACTTTTAGGTTGTTGTCGGTCAGAACCCCAAACCCTAAACCCTGAACCCCAGACCCTATAGACCCTATAGACCCTATAGACCCTATAGACCCTGTGGACCCTATGGACCCTATGGACCCTAAACCCTTTTTCTCAGCCTCCACTTCAGTTTCCGGGCGTGCCCCAAACCTTGCCCGAGCCCGAGCCCCGAAAAACCTGCCTCATTTTGGAGCCCCTTACAAATTATTACACCTTTTCCTGCATGCGTCCGTTAAACAGGCAGGTTTTGGGCCCAAAGCTCGAAACCAGAATCCAACAGCAGAGGAGTTGTGTAGCCTCTCCGTTACTCGTAGATGCCCGAATCACATCCCGGCTTGCAACAAGTACGCGTAAACCTAAACCGTACACCATGCGTGAAGAATTACCACTGCGGTTCCGTAGGGCCCGTAGGGTTCCGGTAATCGAATGTAATCTTCCTTCCCCCCAACAGCCTATTCTAATTATTCGTGTCAGAACCCTGCTTTACTTTGATAGTTTGGTAAAATTTTGCATTTTTATGGGTACTTAAACCCAATAAGGAATAAAAACTTGCATTTTTAAGCCTATCCCAACCATGAACTAGTTTAGTTAGGAGATGAGCACCCCGAGCCTCAAAGTTGAAGCTGCGCCGAGGATGCCCAAGCAGATTTCGCAAGCTTCTTGTCTGGAGGAGATTAAAATCGGCTTAGGGTTTACGGTTTTTTCGTATGAAGCGGCTTGCGCGATTTCAGTATATGCTACCGCATTCTGCCCAGGGGTTCATCAGGCCATCCAGCCTGAGCCAACTCAAGGCGGCAGAAGCTAAGCAGTGAAGGCTATCGTGGGTTTCGTATGCAGGGTGTTTCAATCGGAGCAAAAAATCCAGAAGCCTGAACTGTAGAGCTCTGAAGCCAAAACGCTTCAACAGCTTAGCTGCTCAGTGTTTTCAACTTCTGCAGGTTCAGCCGTAGCATTTTTCAGAATTCCACTGGATTTTAGACTTGAGGTTGGGCTTGGGGTTTAACCCGAAACCCTAAACTTATAAACCCCAAACCCTAAATGTGATAGACATAGTTGAGGGTGTTGAAGGTCTTGTTTTCTGGCTTCTGCGTATGACCCTACCACTTGAAACGGTTAACCAATTCTTTGGGCTAGGGTACTCAGCCCTATCCCTCTCGGAAGAGCTAGCAAAAATATGCACTTATGAACCACATGATGCTATTAATCAGTATGCCACAAGACCCTTACCTTGTGTTAGTGGGCCCCTCTTCAGGATACCTTGTATGCGTACTTTGAGGAGACAGGTGCCATTATGGGTTTGCGGCGCTAAGCAAGCAGTAGGTCGCTTCCTTGATCTACGATCTATGTTGTAGTCTTGGTTTGGCCTTAATTAAGCTCTAAACATCCTCTCAAGGGTCTCACGACCTGGTGGTCTGCAGGCCTGTTGCCTGGACTAAGAACCAGCAGGGCAGTTTCGCTATGCCGCCAGTGCTTGTCTGTCACGCAGCATGAGGCGCCTAGCATCAGAAAATTGCGAGGAGCGGCTGCGGCGCCTCAGGGAGATGCCTTGCGTGCATGCATGCAAACCCCAGACCTTCCAAAATCCTTTAATTAAGGAATATACCTTAAATCATATTAAGGATCCTACTATAATTTAAGGTAGATTCCTTAATTAAGGGGTTTTGGAAGGTCTGGGACGGAAGGTGGTTGCAACTCACGCACACTGACGTTGCTGAGGGCCAAGAGCTCTCAGACAGACCGGGCTTACTGAAGCTCTAGATGCAGCCCTGACAACCCATCTGAAAAAGCAAATCCAAAGGCCTCTAAAACGCGATAGGCCATGATAAGCCCATGTAAGACCTATGAAAAATCCCACAATGCGCATTACCAACCTAAAACAGCCCATACAACACCGTACAAGCGGAGTCTGCCAGGAAGTCCAAAGCCCTTCACCTTTTGCGTACAACCCAAAACGTCGCTTCCTGAGTGGTATCCGTTTGCCCTTTTTCTTTTTGGTATCCTTTTTTATTTTTTTAAGACCAAATAGTAGGGAAAGGGGTACCCTTATTCTTAAGGGGCCACTCAGGAACCCAAAACCAGCATGGGCTGAAGGCGTTTAGTAAATAAGGCCCTAAGCAAAGATAGATGTAGGATAACTCCACTCGGGGTAGCCCTAGCTTACAACATCTCGGTTATTTGGGGAGTAACCGGCTTTTTCAAGACCTATAGAAATCCTAGTACGGAACTTCAAGAAGTTGTATAGGTTTTCTACGGTCCAGGTACTTACCAAGTTACTATAAGTCCCCAAGCCGAAGTGCTGCGGCTAAGGCCTGGTGGCTGCCTTTGCTTGGTCCTCGGAGGTTTAAGTCAGTTTGGATTGTGGTTTATGGATTAGGGTTTCAAAAGCTTTAGTTTGGGTTTAAGTTTTTGATGGTTCAAAGTTGTAAAGGGGCTAGGGTTTCAGGGTTTATGAAAGGGAGGGTAAGGTTTTGCAAACTTTGGGACGTTTAAGGAACAACCCCGTAGATAGTGTGCGGATATGACCTGAGAGCAGCTGTCAGCCGGTAGTTGTAATGATAGCACTCGCAACAAACTTGTAACAATGACCGTGGTACTGGCAGAAATAAAAGAGTGCGACACGTTCTTCCGAGATCTATGCTCTGTCCTGGACCAGGCTTCTACCAGTGCATCGTTCAATAGGAAATATGGAGGTGTGATATCTCCGAATGGTTCCCTTTCTAGCTACACAGGAAAATACACTGAAACCTGATTCTGATTATTCAGGCGCTCTACTTAAATGCTTATGGGACGGAGTAAGGAAGGTTACAAGTAAGTAGGTTTGTATAAACAGGATACGTCCCACTTAGGGGACTGAGGGAACCGCAATTATAGCCTACTTACTAAGTCCCATGATCCTCTGAGTTCCCTAAACTCCCCCTTATAGAACCCTTATAGACTTATAGATCCCTTAAAAAGGAGCCCTTTAAAGGAGCCCTAGGGTTTCTTACTAGGTCCCATGATCCTCTGAGTATTCCAGGCTTTTCGCACGAGACTGCTAGGACTTTCTTCGGGCACCAGGTCGCAGTAGCTCGGACAACCAGTTGAAAGTAATAGCAACATAGGTTGGGTACGGCGCCCATACAGTAAGAGTCTATACTAAGGCTACTATTAAGGCCTAATATATTTTTTTATGAATATTATTCAACTATTACTGAGTGGGGGCCGTACCTAAGACATAGGCCAATCACGGGGAGTTGCTAGCTTAGCTGCAAAGGGAGGCAAAGACAAATTATGAACCCTAATCCCTAAAGCCTAAACCTTAGCTCAAAGCCTACGACGACGACAAGGCTAGGGAGCAGTGGTGCATTGCCCCAGCAGTAACTGAGGATCGGTTGTCGAAGACGGAGTGAGGAGCCGCGTGCCTATGCGCCGGGGTACGCCATGACTTAGCCTAAAACCCTCATCCACAACCCCCCAAACCCTATTCTAGAGAGCCTTCTTAAAAGCCCCCTAAGCCCTAGACTCTGCGCCAACAAATTCCCTAAACAAAAGAAAACACCCTGAATCCTCGATTATGTGTCATTACATATCATTGTGTGTCAATATATGTCATTACATATTACCGCACTATATCGTATCACGTCATACCATGTACAAATAGCACATAATGTGATAATGTGTGTTCTTGCATTTTCTGGTGCTCTGCTTTGTTCTATTGTCTAAACTTGTGTTGTCATGTATTCTACTGTATTGAACTGTATTGTATTCTACAATATTGTTCGATATTGTATCAACCCCCAAAACCCCAGCTTACACTACCATAACCTACTTGTTTTGCAGAGGCTTACTGAAAACCGTAATGTGGAACTTATAGGCACCCTACAAGAAGGTAAGTTTTTGCTAGTTCAGCTAGAGGCTGCTGGGACTCAGTAAATGAGGTTATAAGTAAGGCTACATAATTTGGATAAGCCCTACTTAGGGGACTTTTGATCCCAATTCTAACCCTACGTACTAAGTCCCATGAGCCTTTAAGTAAGGTAAGCCCTACACCCTAAACCCCAAACCCTAAACCCTAAGCCCCAACCCCTAAGCCCTATACCGTAAACCCGAAGCAAACCCTAGACCCTAAACCCAAGTCCTAAGCCCTAAGCAGACTAAACTCGCTTACCTCAAAAGGAACCCTTTGAGGAACCCTACTTGCTAAGTAACAAGGTGAACCCTAAACTCCCCCCTTACAGATCGCTTATAGATCCCTTAAAGGAACCCTTTGAGGAACCCTAATTACTAAGTAATAAGGTAAACATAGGTAAACCCTGAACTCCCCCCTTACAGAACGCTTATAGATCCCTTAAAGGAACCCTTTTGAGGAACCCTAAGTACTAAGTAATCTAAACCCTAAACCCCTAAACCCTAAACCCCTAAACCCTAAAGTACTAAGCAAGAAGGTAAACCCTAAACTCCCCCCTTACAGAACCCTTCGCAGATCCCTCAATTTATAGGGACCCTACAAAAAAGTAGGTTTTAGTAGGTGAAGGTAAACCCTGAACCACATGACCGCCCGCCCGTTTCCTCCCCTGCAGCGAGCCCAAAGTTTCGGCCCCTGCACCGGCCATGGCGGGCGAGAGGCAAAAGGAACTCCGCTTTCTAAGGTTTTAATAGAGTTTCATACATAACCCCCTCTATATATATATATATATATTCTATATAGGATTATATAAGGTTTTTTGATTAAATAGGGTCTCGTTAAGTTAACAACAGGTTTTTGTCGGTTTTAGGCAACCTCATTTTGGTGTGAAAGCGCCTTGATGGGTTTGTTTGTTCGGTGGTTTGCAGGGGGTTGTGGAGGCCACCGCAGTGCCTTTTTGTTTTTGTATTGTGGGGGTTCCTTATTAAACGTGAACAGCAGGATCAGGATAACCTTATTGCAAAGTGGTTGCTGGGCAACCTAGGTTTTTTGGGATCCGGGTTAACTCCTTGTAGGGCTTTTCAGGATTAGAAGGTAAGGGTGTTCATACTGGTCAGAATGATCTGCGATAGTATCTCCTTAGTAGATTCCCTCATGACCACACAGAGTAATTATAGCCCAAACACCAGTCTGTATACTTATCCAAGCCCATATATTTGACCTCAGATCCTAAACGCTAAACTTTTGAGCCTTTTCGAGCTTCTCTCTCCGAAGCCGCGGCTCCAAGCGGCATCCGCAGCGCGAGCTGCAAAGGGTCGGTTGGGGCCTCGGGTCAAATCAGCCACATTTTGACGTGTTGAACTGGGGGGAGGGGGGGGGGGGGTTTAGCAGCTTGATAAAGGGGTGTACAGGGTTGTATAGATTCTCAACAAGTGGGGCTGCAGTTGTTTGTTTTAATGGCGCAGGGGTGTGCAGGGGTTTAAGGGCCAGGCTTCCAGATGTAGCGGTTCTGGTGAGGTTTGCAGGGACTTATGGGGTCCTGTACCCTTATACCGATGTGTATATTGATATTCCCTGAGTTTGAGAGATCTTTTGCATCCTCGTTGTTTGTTTCAACTCATTGTCTGCATGTTTGCGACCATGGCGATGCTAGTGATGCTATTACAAACCGTCTTACCTTGTGCAGCATAGAGCTAGTTTTGAAATCCACCTTAGATGGACAAGTCTTGGCAAGCAAGTTTAAAAGGAAGCTGAAAAGCATGCAAAAACACAACAAACAACCAAACCGCAACTAACCCAAAGCTGCAAGAAAACTGAAGCCACAAATCGAGACAGCAGCTACTACGTGATTGCATTTTGGGGAGATTCCTAGAAAGATGCCACTGATGGGAGGCGGGCGGCCGCGGAAACCACCAAAACCCAGCATCATGCCATTCCCTCCGGGGATGTAACCTACGACTCGACCTGACACCAGCGTCATAGGGATCACTCAATCGGCTCCTGAAATATGTGCTAAATGGCGGGCGGACGTGATGTTGTCCAGCTTTGTGGTTTCCGCTTGGCATCTTTTCTGCTTCGATTTGGCTTCCGGCTAGCTTTAAAATCAGGTTGATTTGCACCAGCCTCCATGTGCTCATACCTTAACCTACCAAAACCTACTTTTTTGTAGGGTCCCTATAAATTCCATATTAGGGTGCATAATAAGAACTTACAAAAAAGCAGGGTTTGGTAGTTTAAGGTATAGGTGCTTTAACGTACCTATATGGGCCTCGTCTGGAACCGAAATATACACGAAATGGGCACATGGAGCCTGAGCCGAATTGCGTGTCTTTTAGCTGGCTGTTTCGGCGTCTGCATGCGAAAGTGCATCATAAACTTACCTTTGGTTGGTAGGGAATGGAAAAATGGTAGTAGTTAATAGTAGTTATACTTGTACTCCATTCCTCCATCCCCTACTAACCAAAGGTAAGTAAAGTTTCGCGAAGTGCCTGTATCGGCCGTAAGCCATGCTGCCCTGCACACTTTACCGTCCGATATCCTGCGAAAAGCCCAGAGACTCCAATATCCCTTAATCAAGGAATAGACCTTAGATTATAGTAGGATCCCATATGTGAGCCTGATTGCACATCAGAGTCTCATACAGAACTTTGCCCCTCTGCTCGGACGCCGTCAGTCCAGAGCTCAAGTTTTATCGTTTCTATTCTGGGGCTCCTTCGTATAGTTTCTGGTTTGAATTTGCCCCGAAACCATATTCTAATGAACAAGGCCCTAGCTTACCAAGATCCCCTGAAGCCCTGTAAGGGCTTTTGGGCGGGGATCCTACACCCAATGTAGGGTTTGGGGTTGCAAGTCTTCATAAAGAAGGGCCGGGGCACCACAGCCTCAAACAAAAAGGCGCACCGCGCCGACTCAAGTGGCGGCGCGTGGGCGCGTCGCCGCACCAGGTACAATGAGGCGGGGATTAGGGACCCAAAAAGGACGTAAGCATAAGCCTTTTATAGGGATATCACTACTTTATTGGGCTTCATTATAAGGGTATTTATATGGGATATCCCTACCCAAGTTTTGCTTATGTGCTTTTTTGGGGCCCTAGGGGAGGGAAGGCATGGGGAGCTGCGGTGTGGGGTTCGAAGTATTAGGGCTTTGGGAAGTTTGTATTTCAGAGTTACGGTCTTGTTAGGGTTATTTAGGGTTCAGTTCATGGATTAGGCATCTAAGGTTCAGGCTTAAAGGTTTGAGGGTCGGAGGTTTGGATACAGTAAGGTTTCAGGATACATTGAAATGTATCCGGGGTTCCAGGATCTGCTTGCGGGGCATGCTGTTGGGGACGGTATGTCAATGCGTTTAATATGTCCTTATTCCCAGAAGGTCCAAGTACCAACATGGTGGGCTTTTAGTAGATATTTGGGGCCCAAAAGTATATACGTATCATACTGTTACTTGGACCCGTTGGGATTAATTACATTATTCGCTGGGTCAACCTTCCAGACGCGAAAACGCAAAACGTGTCAACAAGGGGAGTGGGCCAAGATGTCTTAAAGCAAGCTTCTTAGTTTTGAACCGCAAAGGAGACTGTTCTAGAGACCCAATCCCTGTAATCTACCCGAAATACCGTTGAAGACCACTTACGGGCTTTACTCAAGGACACTTGGGGGGGGTGGGGGGGGGGGCCTTGTAAACCCTGCCCCTCTGCTAAGCTCAGGTCTCGGTGGTTTTGTGCACTGGCCGTGCTCGGTCCTCTCGCATCTGGTTTGAAGACCATGGAGGTTGCCGTGGCAGGCGGGCTCTGGGGCTGTCATGGTTTTATAATGGCTTTAGAGTTTAGGGTTTAGGGTATAGGGATGGTTTATAGGTTATCTTTGGATTTATTTTAGCGTATAGGGATGGTTTATAGGTTATCTTTGGATTTATGGTTTAGGGTTATGGCGGTTTAGGTTTTTAAAGGGTTGAGGTTATCCAAGGGTTTTATTAAGCGGTCATGGCTGCAAAAAGGGTTATAGAGGGATCTTACGAGTTTTCATTGCTTAGGGGGCTTGGAAGTTTCGAGGTTTAGGAGGTTACGATTTGGCAGTTAGAGGCCTTTCGGGTTTTGGAGATCTATATAAGTTTCTACGGTCCCGGGGTTTAGGACCGAATGACTCTTCAAAGTAGGGGCCCTACACAATTACACTTTGAATCCCTATAAGGTGTCTGAACCCTAAACCCTTTTAGGGTTCTTTTCGTCGTTAAGGCAGCCGAAAGGGTCCTATGAGGAACCGCAAACCCTTTTGGGGTTCTTCGCATCCTTAAGGAGGGTTTAGGGCTGTCGGGCTGAAGTGGAGAGGTTTACGGGGTTGTGCTTTGGGATAATTTTTTAATTTCCCTTGTTTCCTTATAAAGGGAACCTATTCATAAATTTCCTTATATCCTATTCATAAATTTCCTTATAAAGGGAACCTACTCATAAGTAATTTTCAAAGGGTTTAAAGCACAACCCAGTTTAGGGTTTTGGATTTAGAACCCAGG